GGCAAAGAAAAAAATAGCAACACACCCGCATGACAAAAACCTCCTCGCATCTTAAAACTGAGCTTTAAAGTGCAGCTGGATAACAGAGACAAGTTGAGTCGCTGACATCGAGGGCTTATCTCTGATCCAGCTGAAAAATGTATGCGCATGCCTCCGTTTGCTTGAGAATAGTTAAAGGGGCTGTCAGGGTTGAGTTCACCAAGCTAAATTTTTAGGAGAGGGGTTTCTCTCACAAACACATAAACTGTCCCCGAACTTATCACTAGCATGATCTTCAAATAGAAAATATAGCTAATAAACATAGCTGCATGCAGCAATTAAGGAGCCAAGAGGACAACAGAAGCTAAATGAGGAGCTAAGCATGTCAGGGAGCATCAGACCAACCGCAAACATTAGTAATCAAAAACATTTATAGATGATTTTAAGCAAAATGGTTGAAAACCCCATAAATACATTCACCTGTAACTGGACAGAACTGATTATCACGAATTGATCTGGTGGGGTCACTGGGTGACAATGATACACATAAGGTTTGGTGTCAATATGCCAAAGCTTTGCAGAAATACAGCCTCAGATCCAGTTTGCCATCATGGCCAAATTGAGTTATATGAGATTGGTTTGATCTATCAAAAAGCTTTTAATAACTTTTTGCCAGCATGGTCTGATAATGATCTCAATTTTGATGAAAATTGTGTTTTATTTCCGTGTTTGAGAATTTTGAGAGTGTTTGAGCCCTTAACGTTTCAAAAGTTATTAGCATAAACGTGAGTGCAACTTTGAGCTGTTGGTGGCGCTAGAGAGTTTGAGTTAGAGACTCCAAACTTGCTGTGGTTAATATTCAGACTGTCCTCTATCTGTGTGCCAAATTTCATAACTTTCCAGAGAGCAGTTTCACGGGCTTTCATAGACTCACTAGCGGAAACTGAAGAAGAAGAAAATACAGCCTCAGATCCAGTTTGGCATCATGCCATCAAGTTTGATGATGAGTTATACCAGAATGATTTGATCTATCAAAAAGATCTTTTAATAACTTCTTGCCAGCATTGTCTAAAGATGATCTGAGCCAGTGAACAGACTTTAGCTGTTGCGGCGCAGCGCGACAACCGTTGCATCCGGTGTAGACATGGTCTTACACTCACCTATCGAGAAGAAACAAAGCAACCTCGGCGTCCAATCTTAGGCCTTCCGCTCCTTGAGTTTTCTCCAGTGCTGGAAAGCTGATCCGATATTTACACGGGTCCTACT